AGTTGCCCCTAAAAAAGCGGATTATGCACCTCAATTATTTCGGTTTGCACACGGCACCTAGATAAACGTTTTATGGCAACCATTCTCTAAAAAGTTATTTCAATATTATTGTACTGTATATATATATATATATATATATAGGGGGACACATCCCCCCTAAAATTCAGACACCCAAGTCGAAATTTGTACATAATTTCAGCTAACAGGACTTCATAGAAATCCATGCCCCCTCAAATAGTTTAGCTGCGGATCCATGCCCCCCCCCCCAAAAAAAAGAGTTTGGCTGTGGCTATCCCTAGTATATTTTTGAGAACGTACGTTAGTTAGAAGTAGTTTCATTAGATAATATTTGCTTAATTAGATGTTTTATGTGGTTACCTTGGAAACTGGCTGTAGCAAGATCGTTTCATTAATTTGTTTATTAATCAGGAATTCAAGTTACTCGTTTGAAAAATAAAATGCTAATATTCTACTTGTGCTTTAAGAAAGCCCGATTCTATAATGATGAACAGTTTTCCGTGGGCTTCTCTCGAATTCCGTGGGGTTCTCCTGAATTCCGTATTTCCTAATCTTATTTCGATACGACTTTTTGGTCTCCATCATCAGGATTCAGATTGTCGCTAGAAACGTCAGTAGAATTTTGGTTTGGTTGTTGTTAAGCGCAACGTTACACAATGGGCTATCTGTGCTCTGCCACCACCAGTATCGAAACCCGAATTTTAGCGACGTGAGTCTGCAGAGTTACCGAGATTGATTGATTCGATAAATACAACACCGAGTCACTATATCAACGAGAAACGATCGCTGATGTAACTTTGTTTATTTTTACACAATTGACGATTGAAAAACAAGTGAATGTGTTACTTTATATTACAGCCCACGTGGCCCAACGGTATGTCTGCGGACTTACAACGCTAGAAACTTAGAGAGGAACCGAGTATAAAAGATTATGGTTATTAGTAAAGACTAATTATCGACTACAAAGCGGATAGTGTCCAAATACGACCACCATAACTTATCACCCACATAATTAAACCAGCACTAGTATGTTTTCGCAATTGCTTCTTAACATTAGAAACCGGAAGTTCTTACACCTGACAGGAAGTGACGAGACCTAGCCATACGCCCTTACAAGAGCAAATTGTTACGAGTGAACGAGCTATACTGGAATTGTTAAAAAATGACGGTTTTTTCCTGCAGTGTGTTCTTTGGGACATTAACTGTTTATTTTAATGTTTCTTTTAAATGTCCCATCCTTTGATTTTTGATAGTCATACACAAAATAAATGTATGGAAAGACATTAGAAATGACAAACCACGATATTTTGTTACATCTCATTTACTCTCGTTCAGAAGGCGTTGCATTCATACGGTTCACTCTCATTTGACAAGCTCTCCCAGACATAGTGTGTATGCAGTTTATTGTGTTATTTCAATAATACAAGGAAAAATATCTTACGTGTCCCTAAATGTTATGTTACGTAAATCAAATTTAGTGTTTACTCTAAGAAGTACAAAATCAGAATAATAATAAAAAAAAAGACATACCACCAGATCCTCCACAGAAGAACGAAACAACCAGAGCCACGGGAAACAAGAGTGCGCAGATTGGTTCTTGAAGATGACAAGGAACTCTGTATCTGTCGCGTGAAAACAGCACCAAAAAGCCACTACCGGCCAGTAAAAGCCCTGGAATAATAGCGGCGCGTGCCTGTCCTGTCGTGCAGCGCAACGTTTTGTGTTGTACCAACCAGTTGAGAACTGTTGCCAAAGAAAGGACTACAAGACAGCCTAGACTTAGAAACAACAGCCCGCCGTAGACGTCTCCGGAAACGTTGACAGCATTTATATATTTCGGCATACAAACCGCAACAACAGTGAAGCCTAACAGTAGGACTACGCCAAGAAGCGGTTGTATATGCTTCTGTAGTATTGTCTTACCCACTGCTGCCGACATAACTTCTTCAGAACCCTCCATCGTTTTAGTACGTAAAGTACGTGTGTGTTTGACCCCAACAACTAAACGCTTGTATCGTATCGCATCATGTGATACTTGAACTTCCCATATCAACAGTCAAAGGTACAATAGATTACCCATACACAAAAATATCACTGTTCCCTCCTAAACTAGCATGCAACTATATACGATAAATACCTTTTTTTTATTACACGTTTACAATAATTTACCTCTCGGCGATAAATATATTTTGTCGCTATAGAAACAAACCTAGCCTGTAAAACAACAACATGAAACACAACTAGCAACAAACCTACAGTATATATATCGGTGTCACATTCTTCTCATCCATCTACAGTGTTACAAACCTACAGTGGATATCGATGTCACATTCTTCTCATCCATCTACAGTGTTACAAACCTACAGTATATATCGATGTCACATTCTTCTCACGTGACTTCCGCTGTCGTAACAATATTAAAGAAGAGAGCTAGTCACAATTAAAGTTACTTCTAAATTCCAATAAAACTAATATATATATAATGAGTTTATAAAATATATGCATATACTTTTTAAGATATTTCTTAGTACTTCTTTTGAGATTATCTGTGACACATTGTTCATTAGTAAGACTTATGACACATCGTTCATTAGTAAGATTTATGACATATTGTTCAGTGGAAAGACTGGTGACACATCTTCAGTAGAAAACTGGTGACACATCGTTCAGTAGGAAGACTGATGACACATTGTTCAGTAGGAAGACGTATGACATATTGTTCAGTGGGAAGACTGATGACACATTGTTCAGCAGGAAGACTTATGACACATCGTTCAGTAGGAAGACTTATGACATGTACTTAACATAAGTCACAAACTGTCAGTGAGCAGGAATCTTTTTTAAGTTGTCAATTCTGAAATTCGTTTATTACTAATTGTTGAAAGAAAGGGGATCGCAAAACAGTATAGTGTTCAACAGCGCCTTCTGTAGGCGAAGCGTGTTTATAATTATAAATAAAGACAGCAGTATTAGGCTTATTGTATTCTTAAACATTACATTATTTATTTGGTTTCTTAGTGTATCGCTACGAATACAGAGGACACGATGTGGTTAAAATCCCCTTTATCCATCGCTCTTCTTGGGAAAATTCTAAGGTATTCAATAAATAATTCAGTGTCTAAAATCACACTAAGCCTAGTATTATAACTCTGTATAGTGTACACTAACTGTGAAATAATATTAATTCCACTTCAGGTATTAAGGGTTAAGACGAAAACGGTAACCTATTCTCTCTCTATCTCTAATTTCGTTTAAAAATCGTGGAATGGTGTTCTAAGAACTTTAATCACTATAAATAAAAACAAAACAATAAAAATGAAAACCAGTTAACGAACATTTGAGGCCTGATGTTGGAGAAACCTTTACATTGCACTAAAAGTTATCTACGCTAGACGTCCCTAATTTAGCAGTGAAAGACTAGAGGGAAGGCACCTAGTCATCACCACCCTCTGCCAATTCTTGAGCTACACTTTTACCGTCACAATATAATGACCACCCTGGCTGAAAGGGTACGTTTGGTTGGGGTCATGAGTGCTTTGTAATATCGACGGTCAAGTTATGTTAATTAGACATACAAACGAAGCCCAAGACTTGGCTGTTGACGAGCTACGTTTCATCTAGTCTATCAGTTCAAAATTAGGGACAGTTGTATACAGATAATTATTGTCTAACTTTGCACAAAATTCTCAAACAAACGAAATGTTTTTGTTGTTTTATTTTTCGTCATAAGCATGTGTCGCTTCTTCGATTTTCTCTGTATTGTTACATTATCATGATCAGGTGCGGTGTTAAGTCCTTTGGGAGCCCTAAGCAAAAGTATTTTGGGCATCTAAAAACAACAACAACAACAACAACAACAACATTATTTCCACAAACCAAATATATATATAAACGCAATACATATTAAAACTTGTTAAAAAAGTCATTTCTACTCACAAATTTTCTCAAATTATAGTATAACATAATGTTTAGGGGCAACAAGGGACCAATTGGTCTATCTTGGCTGTCCCATCCTCTAAACTAAACTATTAATAATTTTTAAAAAATCTTAAAGCTAGCCCTTATCATTCATATAGTTATCAAGTTTTCTCTTAAATTCACTTGCAGTTACTGTATCCCACAACATCTGAAGG